TTGCCGATGAAGCAAACGTATGTTTGCTATAGTAATCGACAACGTTACTTATATTCGTATTAGAGTAGGGCTTCGAGACTACCAGTAACTCAGCTGTAAATACCAAAATGAGATGTATTTACCCTATTTCGTCTAAGGTGATTAGAATTTTCCCACAATCATATGAATTGATGTGACGTCTCCATTGAATTTCACATAGCCTTGCTTTCCCAAAAGAGGTTCTCATCCAGGCTGAAGTGGACTGCAGTTTCGATCTCGCATCGGTCTTATCAACACCCCCAGCGCGAGTCCATCTGTGACAGTTTAGAATGGGAGCTTGACACGTTAACCACTCGACCACATTGCCACGAGTGCCCTTGGGTCACAGAGCAGATGTGAATTTCAAGGAAGGCCAGGCCTGCAGATAAATGGATATCTAATAATCAGAAGTTGCGCAACACATCGCACAGACTGAACACGAGATCACTTGGAAGGCAACAGAAAGAAGGGCCCCATATGGTGACAAATCAAGGAAGCGGAAGATTGAGGAGGTCATTGACAAATTCGGGGATACAAATCTAATGAACAGGAGATTGGAGGAAGGTTGAGTTAGTGATAACTGTGCCTACTGCCTAAGCAAACTCGGGGAAAAAAGGAATAGAGTAAGACCAGAAAAAGGAGACGCCTGGATCAGGGATTTATCGCTAACCGGAGGGAAAGGGATCGCGATGAGAAAAAAAAGGGGTGGGATTTTCGGCAATCAAGCGAAGACGTCGTCAGTGAGTGATGTCTGCTCGAATAAACCAGTACAACTTTGGGGGGCTGGTAGTCAGGGCCCTGGGTGGACGGATAAGCTAACCGTCACAGAAATTCGGCGTTATGTTCAAAATGTACTAGAAATCCACTTGGAATGCCTCATGCGACCAGAATTAGGGTTAGACGTCCACAATTGGCTCAAGCCTAGGCACTCTGATCGGTGGGGCGTCAGTGTACGTGCTTTTAGAGCCCTGAGAAATAGCGTCTGGAGGGAAATGCAACTGGGACTCGAACCGAGTGAGATCGTTTAACCAGAAAAATAAGGAACGTATCTACGGAACCATGAGGGAAATCTTGATTGGAGGCCCGAATGGGATTAGCCGATCGAAAGAGAGTAATTATGGGTGACTAGCAAGTATGATGAGGCCACACTAAATTTTTCACGAAAGGACACACATTTTGACGAGTGGAATGTAAAAAGGTGAGAAGCTGTGATAGAGCGGGAGTTGGATAAGAGGGTAAAGAGTTGATAGATGGGCCAGGTATAGTGTCATCGTTTTCGGAAAACGTTGTTCGAGGGATTGACTTCACTTGTTTCTTTGACGAGTCCGTAGCTTGGTGCTAAGAATGGCAGAGTTTACTGAAGATGCCGACCCTGATGCTGGCGAAATGTCTGAGAAAGTACTAAGCCCACTGTATGATGCTGGGAACTATGATCACTCCTATGGATGAGCTATTCTAGCATGGTGCGTTCTACTTAGTCGCCCTGACAACAAGACCAAGTTGCGAGAGCAAGATCAACCCACTTTTTTATTTCGTCTATTTTTTTATCTATTTTATAAATTATGTATTTTCAATTGATATATTCTGTCACTGTACAGATGAAAGCATAGCCCAATTTCATCGGGGTCGCCGAGGGTTGATTCGCACCGTTCAACGGTCTTCACTTCACGACAATCTTCTTTCGGTTCACAATGAGGCAACTTCATGAATTTCTCCTTGATAAATTTACCTTAGAAATGAAATGTCATGTTGTAATATATCACCAAGAAATTCTTGCAAACCCAATTTTACTTAATATTTGAATGAAATTACCATTTGTAATTCAATCTCATTGTAAACCCTAATCGTGTGATTGTGGGATCAATCTGCTGCCAGTCCTTCATCACCCTAAGCGATCTAGGCCTACAAAACTTTTATTATTATGATCATAGTAAAGATATACTGTTAGTTTTGGGATATTTTGAATAATAAATATGACAGATTACTTTTGATACAAGAGTAATGCATTTCATTGCTTCACTTCTCATACATCAGGAAACCAAAAAATGCCTCACCCAACAATTGAATGAACTCATGCGCTCCCACGACATAGACTACCTGACTCCGGCTGAGTTGGACGCCATTCTTCATCAGATCAACACAAACAGCCTCATCCAACTGCTTCCCTCAGACGAGGCTCGTTTCACCTCAGTCGTCTCTACGAGCAGCGGTCCAGGCAAGCCGGCCTCTCTGCCCAGCGACCAGGTTTGGTCGTCTCTGCCCACCCCTAGAGGAGTACAAGCCCGCTTCGTAGGTCTGAACGAGGAGAAAAGCAGATGTGGAGATGTCTGCGGCAAAGGTGGCCAACGATTCTTCAGCACAGTTACAGCGGCTCCCGATGACCCATCGCGACCAACACTAAAAAGGCAGAGCAACACAGCATCCCAGTTCACTCAAACCGAATGTCCCATTCTCCAGGCGGGGACTAGGGGTTTAGGAGCCCGTGAACACGATGCTCGTCTTCCGACGGGCAGCAGCGGTGACTCAGGAAACGAGTCCTCTTCACTCTCCTCTAAACTCGTGATGCCGTCATCCGGTAGCGAGGCTTTCGGGGAGGCTGGAGTCGGCGTCAGAGACACGTATCCACCTGCCATCAACAATCCAGCAGAACTCTTCCCACGAAGGATCCAATCGGGCTTGACGACAGCCAACCTTCCACTCTTCACTATTTCCGCTCAGTTGGCCCAGGAAACCGGCAAAATGGGACGTTTTGAGAAGACCCAAACAAACGACAGTCGACGGAGGCATCTTCTGCACGCGGATCAGGCGGTGAACGCATTCTTCGGCAACAAGGATGAAACCAACCTCTGCATGCAGCATAGGCCAGTTGTAGTCGGGTTGAGGCCAGACGAGGCCTTGAGTCGAAAAGAAAAGGAGAATGGTACCGACATGTCCATAAAAGGCTCCTCATCCGCGGGAGTGCAAGAAGAGCCGAGGTGGCCTGTGGACGAAGCGAAAAGCAACGAAGAGATTAAAGAAACTGTCGATCGGCCAGCCTACTGCAAGCCGGACACTACAGTGAGAACAAGTGTAAGCAATGATACAGTTGAGCCGAAAATCGCCTTTGTCTGTTTGGAGTCTGTGTCAAATGAGCGTGATTGTTATCACAAATACAAAGGACAATATCCTGTTTCGTCCGGTCTGGTAGCCGTTGATCATAGCTTTGAAATGCTGGCTTGACAGTGCTTTTCCAATATATAGAATGTAGTCTTTCCACTTCGTTTAGGATAATAAAAGGAATTGTAGTTGAATTTGTCCCAAAATGATGTTTCCATTCAATTTTAAATAGCCTCTACTTCCCAAAAGTTATTCTCATTCAGATAGAAGTGGACTGCAATTTCGACCTCGTCTAGGTCCTAGCAACGGCTCTAGCAGGACTCGAACCATGACGGTGCGGCGTATCATCTTGACACGATAATCACTACGTCACAGGGCCACGAGTGTCATGTGAATTTCAAGGAAGGTCACACATTTTTCCATATCATGACCGAGTAGTTTTGAGACCTACTTAATCTGGATATAAATTTTAATTAAGGCATCACGAAGCAATTAGCCCAACCATTAGAGTGCCCAGCATTATAAGATTGCAGTGATGAGAGTCTCATTCCTCTGATCACAAGTAAAAGTCAATTTTAATGGTAAAAATACAATATGAGATTATGCATCTGATATGACTTATCTGCTGATGGTCTCGAAAGCCTACTTATGAACAATAAATAAATAATGTATTTGATTGTCATTGCAAATAAAACTTTGCTTTATAGGCAATCCCATAAAGGAATAGGATATAGAACAATGCACGGTATTCCTTGAAATTCGTGAAGTGGCAGTTAATGTGTAGAGATTGTACGCTGCACCTTCAGGGTTCGAGTCCCGCTAGGGGTGTTGATAAGATCTAGACGAGGTTGAAACTGCCGTCCATCCTGGATGAGAACACTTTTGGGGAAAGCAAGGCTATGTGGAATTTAATGTAGACGTCAGCTCGATAAATATCATTGTTGGAAAATTTAACTACCAGTTCTTTATCATCTTAAACCAATTAGGTCGAATACATCTCATAGAACAGATTTATTGGTAGTCTCGAAAATACAAGTTTATCTTATTATCGGCGCACTGGCAGCATGTTGATATTTAAATCTGCGTAACATATACTCAATTTTCGCCCGGGATGCTGAAGTGGAAACTGCCGCCCAGCCTGGATGAGAATACCTGTTGGGAAGCCGTGGAAACGTGAGGCTCACTCGTCTTATTGTGGAAAAATTGAGTGTATCACATTTTACGACCTAGGCTTACCGGAACGCTAGTTCCAGACTTACTGAGAGTCGCGTAAACCTACGTTTTCTGAATAACAATTCCTCCTCTTTACTCGATAATCGGGGCCACCGATTTGCTTTCACACTGATGTACATCAGTATGTGTATAGATCTATTGAAGAAATAACGAAATCATTTTATGCCTGATACCAGTGGGATTATTTTATGTTTAAGACATGCTAGCCGGATGTTTGAATCCTTGATCTCAGGATGTCTGTCATTTGGCATGACTGGGGGAGCGCAACTAAAAAAAGGGGTCTTGAGGACTTCGTCAGCGCGAACTTTCTAGTAACATCAAACCACAGCGAATCTAGAAGAAATTGCCATCATCATTTGGGGAGAACAAACTACGAAGCTCTTCATAAATTTCTTTTAATGGAAATGAACAGCAAGGTGTGTTTTTGAGCCTGGCTCACCTCACTGATGATATCAACTACGAAGCAGGCCGAGGAAAGAATCAAAGTTCAAAAAAAATGAAGCTAAAGCAGCCTCTTAATTAGCCTCAAATCGAAATGCCTGAGGCTTATGTATGCCTCTAGGCGAAAAACCAGATAGAATTATGAGTAATGCATTAAAGAGTCAAGTTTAACTCATTTAACAGGCTAACTTTA